GCTCGTCCCCAGGCAAGGGGGCCATGAGCCAGCGCAGGAGTGTGGGGTGCACATATCCTGCAGCTCCCCGTGTTCTGGGATTGCCATGGAAGGAAACTCAGGTGCCTGTGGCCTGGTTCCCAGTCACCAGGGTGTCAGGGTACGGTCAGAATCTGCCAGGCTCTGGCTACAGAGCCCCATGTGTGATAAATCTTCTCTACTTCCAGGTGTCCTCAGTGGATTGGGTGCACTGCTGTGCCAGTCTATAACCCTGGCCATTCCTCTTCTAAAGGAGACTTTAACTTTTAGCTATGGGAGTCCTGCTGACAAAAAATAGCTGTAACACAGATGGTTCAGTGTTAGAAGCAGCAGCCTTGGGCACACAGATTCAGTTCCTTGCTTTGACATGTTCTTCCCATATGGCACTGAGGTCCATCAGTCCTTTGCTTTTCTATATGTAACTGCCCAAAAAGCCAGTCTCTGTGTCGAGTTTATTACAGTGCATTTGGGAGAGCTCTGTGGAGGTACAGTGGTGATACAGATCAGAAATGTCTGTTTAACATCCCGAAACAGAGATCTGCAGCTTCTCCCAAAACTCCTTCAGAACAGTTACGGAGAGCAATGGTGTTGGTGGCACCTTTCACACTGGGATGTGGAACATGGGCATTGCTCACCTCAGAGGCAGAACCTCAAAGTGGCTTCAACAGTAGGACCAGCCATGAAGGATTTGCTGAAATAATTGTGGAGCACAGTGAAGCTTCCTTAACCCCAGCTGTTACCACAGGGGATTTGTATGATTAGCTAAAGTCTGTTCATGGTGAGCCACTCTCTGTCCATGGCAGTGAGAGGCAGCCCAGGCCTTGGCTCCAAGCCTTGGACATGGTCCTGTTTGGGGAGGAGCAGCGCAGGATTCTCTGTGTGCTGTGAATCCCTGCCCATGTCAAGGGGATTGGAACAAGAGGATCTTTGAGGTCCCTTCTGACCCAAACCATCCCATGACTCCATGTCACCCTGCATGGGAAGGTTTTAAGGTTTGCACTGTTTTCTTTCTATTTGAGTGGGTGGGAAACTAATCAACACCAGTCTTAAAAGCAGCTCTGATTTTTTTAATTGTGTGCACTTCTTACAGCAGTCGAGCCCCATCATTCCAAGGTGGATTTGCAGGGCTGGAGTGCTCACCCCCCTCACTACAGAAATGGCAGCCACAGAGCTGTAACTCCCAGCTCATCAGTAAATATGTCTGTACTGAGAAAATCTGTCCTGTTAAGGGGCTTCCTTTAGCAGACTCAAGTCAGATTATCTTATTTGGCATTTATTTTAAGGCCTTTCATGTCTCCATTTCTCTCAGCCTGGGTATCCTGGAGAGTGCCAGACATGTTGTCTTTATTGCAGCCTCTTCAGTCTTTGTGGAGAGCAAGGTCTGCTCACAGTGATACATGTCAGAATGTTTTGGTTTGATCCAAGACCCATGCTGGTTATGTTGGTTTTGTTTGTTTGTTGTTTTTTGGTTTTTTTATAGGGAGGAAATCTTTATTGAAATCCTGCAAGGTTTTATTTAATTCTTCTATGATGATGTGGTAACTGTTGTAGCTTTGCCCACAGTGGTGGTTCCTCTCTCTGGTCCTTGGTTTTTGTGCTCACCCTGAAGGTGATCTCTTGAGCTTGACTCAGCAGTGTCTGGTGGTCCAGCTGCCTTTTCCTGGGAGCCTGACCTATCTCCCCCCTCCCCACCAACCTGAAGGTGTTCAAAAGGAAACCGTAAAATCAATATTTTCATTGTAGAAACATGGTCTACCCGAGTTTTTCACGTGTTTTTGTCTTTTAAAATATGTACTTCTGTGAGATTTGGCTCAGGGGCTGAGGAATTGTGTTACTTGTGATCACATCTTCGAGACACCTCAGTGTGTTAACAGAAGAATGTGCTTGTGAGGAGCCTGTCATGAAGTCTGGAGTTCATCAGTCCACTTCTTACAGGGTAGAAAGGTAAAATTAATTCCAGAGAACAAGAGATGTTGGAAATGACAAAAAATCCTTATGGTAGAAAGAGGAGTAATGGTTTGCAGCCATCAGGTATTTCAGATCCCACAAAGGGATCAGAACTGCAGATGGAAATACCAACATACATTATTACTTAGAAATATTCCCTGGTATGAATGTGAGGACTCTCTAGACCTGATGAAGGGAGATGCTTCCAGAGGTGCAGTATCTTCATCAGCCTTTGCTTGGAGCTGCCAAAAATGTGACTTTGCACAGGCAAGGAGAAATAAAACTCCAGTCTTGCCCAGGGGGATGGTAACAGGGAGGTGGAAGGAACTAAAATCATTGGTTAAGATAAATTCTGACTCACCTTTTCAAACTTGGAAGCTGCTCACTCCTGAGAGTTTCCCTCAGGTTCCACAGAAGCATTCATTTGGCGTTTTGGTTTAGGATTCTTTCCCTGCTTGTCTGGCTGTGAGAAGGCTGGTGCTGAGTCCTGGGAGCTGGTCTTTGGCTTCTTCCCAGGAAAGGGGTCAGTCAGCTGGCTCACCAGAGTGTGCCTTGAGAGCAAGAATTGTGGTTTACACCAGCAAAAGTTCTGGTGTCCACAGGTCAGGCAGAAATCTGAGGAGCCAAGTCCAGTGTGAGCAGTAAGAGGAGTCAGATAATGCACTGACAGCCCTCTGATTTCTCAGATAGGCTGAAAGTGCTTTCTTTCTTCACCATAGAAATTAAAAATGGCCAAAAAGGTGTTAAATGAGCAAGCAGGCTGAGTTTGGAAAAGGCTCTTCCCCTAGAGGGTGGTGGGGCACTGAACAAGCTTCCAGGGAATTGTCATGGTTCCAAGGCTGCCAGAGCTCAAGGAACATCTGGAAAATGCTCTCAGGGACAGGATGGGATTGTTGGGGTGTCCTGTGTAGGGTCAGGAGTTGGACTTGATCATTATGGATCCCTCCCAACTCAGGATGTTCTGTAATTCACATGATCTGCTCATCACTTGCCTGGTTTTATGACTGGGTTGGGATGCCCTGGGTGCTCCTGTGTAACCCATGGTCACATAGAGGCTTCCAGAACGGAGCTGAAATGTTCCAGCAGGGAGGCTGGAATGGCAGCACTGCCATTACCCATGACAGGCAGGAGCTTACAGTGCTGCCCTCACATTTCCTGAGGGAATTTGTAAGGGACAGCTCTTTACTGCTGGAAACACTGATGGAAACATGACTGTGAAGAAAACCTCAGCTGAAGCAGAGGTTACATGGAAGGGATTTTTAGTGGCTGCAGTGGTCGTGGTGCTCCAGACCTTTTGTGGGGAAGAAATCAATGACTGCAGGCACTTTGCATCATGAGAAACTGTCAGGATTCTCTTGTGGCAGCCCCATGGGATTTCCAAGAAGTGTCATTCTCACAGCTTTCTGTCAATATGCAGAGCTTCCTTTTTTGTTTTTTCCCTCCAATCCTAATCTGTGAAGTATGTATCCAACCTAATAAAACCATTTTCCAGCTTCGCTGTTGGTGGTTTTCTTCCTCTTCTCTCTGAAAGCCTCTGGCCTGCTGGCAACAGCATTGTCCAGTGAGGTTTGAAGCTTGGCACACTGTCAACAAACCTTCAGATTCCCTTTCAATCAAACGTGGTAGTGCTGAGATCTGACTTGGATTCCATCCCAAGGTTCACCATAATCATCCTTGTATAATAGGAAGTCCAAACAACCCCAGGAAATAATTCAGATGTGACTGGTGCCTTGAGTGGAATAAAGAAGTGCCTAGAAGAGACATTAAGAGCCTCAGCTCTAACTCTTTTCATAATTATGTGCTCCAAAGGAGTGGAGGCTTTGGAGATAAAGGGATTACATGCATCTCATGAGGTCTGGAAAGATGGGACAACATCTTCCATCCACTTTTTCTCATTTTTATTTTACTGATATTGCAGTTGCCACATTTTGTGGAAGAATATTGCAGAGCAGGCTCCCCTCTAACCCTGCAGTTCCGTTCCAGTCTGGCACAGGTGAATTGAATCTGTCTGCCCTTAGGGATGAGCTTTTGGAAAAGCCTGTTGGCAAGAGCAGTGGGGGGAGAATTTAATTAGGTTAAGATGCATTTCTGCAGTGTTTGTGCTGCAGGCTGTGCGGTGCTGGGGATGCCCTGGGATGCTCTTCCAGCCCTGGCTGCCTCTCTGCTGCCTGAGAAAAAGGGAAAAGGCATCAGAGGTTTGAATCTCAGTGTAACCCAGCACAGGGCTCACCAGGGTGTGAACAAACCGTGTCCTGAGCCGGTGTCCTGCCCCCAGTGTCAGCAGCCTGGCAGCAGGGCAAGGGCTCAGCTTTTAAGGGAAAAAAAAACAGCAGCTGAGGCAGTGATGGGGTGGGTTTGGTTGGACACCCAACCTTCCTTCAGCTCCTGCTTCAGGCCTGGCTACTGATGGCCCATGGGTCTCATACTTTGATACCCTTACGAATGCTGTTTTGCTTTTCAATGTCCGTGCCATTTCTAAGGTTACTCGTTTACTTGTCTTGATAACTTCCTCCATAAGGAAGCTGCACATCTGCTAGTTTCCAATGAACTGTTCTTTCTCCCTGGTATGTACTTGTGAGTTATTTTTACTTTTGTAGGTTTGCTCTGCTGCACTGGTAAGGGATAATTTGGAGTCCCCAGTTCTCTCTCTTCATGCTACTCATTATTTTATATGCCTCTCCTGTGGTCTCTCGCCTTTTCATTACTAATCAGGTCTAGTCTTTTCAATCCTCCTTTGTGTGATAGTTTCGTTTTACAAAAGCTGAACTAGTTTCTATCAGCTCAGTTGATGTGATCTTACTCATATCAAAGGTGTTTAACAGCCGCAGTCCCGTGTACTCACTGCAAGCTGAACTTAAATTGTGTCAAGTTCTGTGCTGCTTTGCGAGTGCAAGTGGGAATGTTTGTTACAGCTGTCTTTAAATTTAAATTTGGATGTTTTAAATGAATTAAATATGAACATGAATAATGCAGCTGGTAATGTAGCCTTTCTGCAATTAAATGCAAACTTTTTCGTTTTGTCTCTGTGCTTTCAGGTTTTGCTATGCCGCAGTGTTTGTACTGACTCTGCTGTCTTGTAGGAGTGATGGGGAACTAGAGCCCATGACAGTTCAGTGGAGCCCTTGGCACTTTTGATATCTCGGTGAGTGAAAGTTGTTTGAAACTCTGGGAGAGGCATTTCATCTGCTACTAAAGGCAGTAAATCAGTTGGTCTTTTTACATTTTTAAGGTAGCGTCCTGCTGAAATGAATTTGCACATTGATCTGTCCTTTCAGGTTATAAATTCTGGAAAGCAACACTCAGTAATGCTGTAGTTCATGCTTGGGAGATTATCTTGATCTCCACAAGCAGGAGAAACAGAGCTTTTGAAAACAAGGGGAGTTTTAACTCTGGTGTGCAGCTCTGTGCAAGTGCCAGGCTCTGGAGATGGAGCATTACAGCGTGTGCTGGGCTGTGGAAATCTCAAAGGCTTTATTTGATACAACAGAAAGATTGTGTCCTTTGTGCCATAGATCCAGCCAACAGGTCCATGTTTGTGCCTGAGGCGATTCTGGAAGATCTGTCTCTGTGGATAGCCCGGTTTTGCCCCTTGGATACCAGACTGTAGCTTCTTCTCTTTCTTATTTTCACATTTTTTCAATCTTTAGTCCCTGAATGGAGTAAAGGCCACGTTCATTGGTACCATGGTGCTCCTGTCCTGCAGTGCCTGTGAGCTTGTCTGTTCTGCCTTTGACTTTCTTCTCTCTACACTGAAGTCTCCTCACTGGGGCATTTCAGCCTTGTCAAAACCTATAGAGTGATTTTTCTTGCCATCCAATCTGTTGTCAGTGAGATAAAGTCCCTGGGTGTTTCAGGTTGGAAGGAGCTTTTGGAGGTTGTCTGGTCCAATGTTGCATGCAGAGATGGGCTGACTTTGAAGTCAGTCAGCTACAAGGTTAGATCAGGCTGGCAGGGGAGGGAGCTGGTGGTGTTTGGAGGATCTCCAAGGGTGGAGATTTTACAGCTCTTCTGGGCAACTATAAATTACAGTCAGTGGAAATCATCAATTCCCAAGCCCTGTGTTAGTAAAGCCCAGGGGCAGCAGAGAGCCAGCTCCTATCTGTGCTCCCTGGGAGCAGGGACAGGATCCAAGGGAATGGCTGGAGCTGTGTCAGGGGAGGGACAGGCTGGATAGAAAAAGGTTCTTTCCCCAGGAAATGGTCATGAGCCTAAGCCTGCATGTGGAGCATTTGGACAGTGCTCTCAGACACCCCCAGGGTGGGACTGTTGGGGTGTCTGGGACAGGACAGGAGGAGGATTTGGTGATCCTTGTGCATCCCCTCCCAGATGTAACTGTTCCAGTTCCAGGAGGGCTGGGGTACACAGTGTCTGTCTCCATGGCTGAAGAAAGGCATCCCTGAATCCCTGGGATGCAGTAAGGCTGGTGGCTCCCCTCTGGCTGTGTAGGTCCAGCTGCCCCTGGGGCAGGCAGGATGAAGCTGTGCCTCATGGAGTTTGGATCTGCCTCTTCTCTAGGCATTACATGACTCTGAGCACACCAATTATTTTGCTTTTTTTTTTTCTTGAGTCATGATTTTGCACGTGTTGCTGTCCTGTGGTGTGAGATGTACAGGGGATCTGGGTAGTGCAGAGCTGTGGTGGAGGCTTGTGAAGGCTGGCAAGAGTCAGGCTGAGGTTGTCACATTTGGACAGTTTCTTGGAGATGTATTTTGGAGTGCAGTGTCCTTGAGCTGGCACTCGTGGCTCTCAGCAAAGTGGGACTCCCCATGCAGCTCATGTCTCCTCCTTTGGGGAAGAGTCACCGTTTGTTTGTTTATTTATTTATTTAAATTGCACATTTACAACATCTGATTCTTTTCATAACAGAAGATCTTGCTGAGAGCCTGCTGCAGTGTTGGCTGAGGAATACCAGCAGTCAGCTCTGTGCTTTATCAGTATCACAGAATTATAAAATGATTAAGGTTGGAAAATGCCTCCAAGATCATCAAGACCAAACACCACCATGTCCTCTACACCAGAGCACTAGTGCCACATCCAGTCATTTCTTCAGTACACCATCACCTCCCTGGACAGCCCATTCCCATGCTTAACCCTTTCCTGAAGAGATTCTTCCTGGTGTCCAACCTGAACTTCTCCTGCCACATCTTGAGGCCATTTCCTCTTGAACTGTCCCTTGTTCCCTCAAAGAGGAGACTGACCCCTCCTGTCTGCCCCCTCCTGTCAGGGAGTTGTGCAGGGTGAGAAGGTCCCCCTGAGCCTCATTCAGGTTATTCCCACTGTGAGGATGGAGGGTGCAGCAGTGCACCCTTGTCCTGGGCCATAACCTTTCAGAAGCCCTGTCTGAGCAGCTCACAGTCACAATTTTTTTTCTCCCAATATTTCTGAAGGGAAGGGGTCACACATCCCTGCCAGCAGCACTCTGAGGTGCTCAGGCTGAAGCAGCTTTTCAGAATCCCTCAGAGGAGCACAGGAGCTCCTGTGCCAAACAAATGGGCATTTATGTGTGTGGGTAATTGAGAAAGTCCCACAGACAGCAGAGGGGCAGAGCCAGAGATGGCGAATGCTTGTCTTGTGCCTTTATATATAAACACCTTTCAGCCTGGGTTTTTATGTCTAGGGGACTTTTCCTGCCAGGACTGCTAGTCTTTAATAAAAATAACTGAAGAAAATTATGAAAAGCAGCTTTAAAAGTTGTAAATAATCTTTCACATGTAGGTTACCTTCTGTTACTGAAGGGGAAACCAGCCTTACTCTTTTCACAAGCGTGTACAGACACACACGCTATTTAGGAGAGTGACTACTGTGCACCTTTTGATTTGGATTAAAAAAATAACCAGGATTTCTTTTCCCCTTTAGTATTTAATATTCCTTCAGTATTTTCCTTCTAAGAGTATTGCTCAGTGTTGCATGTAAAGAGGCTGTAGTTTGTAGAGCTGTTATAGAAAATTAAACTCTATTTCTCTTACATTTAGAAGAAGCCTGGTTTTCAAAACTCCAAATTCTTGCCAAATTGGATGTGTAAATAACCCTTTAAGCAGCTACTCAATGCTGTGTCCTGAGACAGCTTCCTCCTCCTCCTGACTGCCCCACTGTGAACAAAATGGAATTATATTGATACAATTAATCTTTCATTAGTTAGTGGAGTGTCAAAACATGCTATTCCTGGCTTTCCCAAGGGCTTGTTTGTGGCTCAGCCATTCATTTGGATGTTTTTTGGCAGGGCCTGGCAGGGCTTTGTGGGTGTGGCAGACCCTGCCCTGTGAGAGTGGTTGTGCTGGGTCCCTGTTCACATCCAGCACACATCTCCCAAGAGCTCTGATTTTTCAGGGATATATCTTTATAACAAGAATGTAAATGCCTTTGCTTGTTGGGCACAGTCCAGCCAGTTTCTTCAACCAGGAAAAAAAAAAATGCAGCACAACTTGGACACTCGTGGCAGTACTAACAGCAAAAGTATTTCCTGGGTCATTGTCCAATTTCTCATCCTTATTCCCCAGAACTGCTGGGAGCAATTTGAATTGTAAGTGGCAAGCTGGGGATTGCTGTGCTGCTTTGCCAGAGTTAATGTTATGTTTCCGTGTGTTTTCTTTCATAAATTCCAGCTCTGCCTCCCTTTGTTAGTAAGTGGGAGCAGCCCCTCCTTCCACACACACACTCTGGACCCACTGTAGGGTTAGCACAGAGACAGGCATGTGCTTCTTATGCTTATTTATGCTGCTCCTGCTGCCATGAATTTGATGTTGTCCACAAATTGGAGAAAGTCTTGTAGTTTCATGGGGTGAAATGAGTTGTGTGTGTTCTGTGCAAGCCCGGGTGACAGAGCATGTGTTTCTCCCCACTGTGTGATGAGTTAATGGTGCAGATGACTGTGTGCTCCAGAATGGGGAATTTTCTCATCTTTATTTCTTTTGTCCTAGACATCTTCAGTTCTGTAAGAGCAACCCAGTCCCAGGATAAGGACAGCAGCAGGTGGTAGAATGCGGAAACCAGGCCCTCAGAAAGGTGAGCAGTGATGCTTGGCACAGCCAAGAGCCCTGCAGTGAGCTGGCATGGCCCGAGTGCCTCAGGGGGCTGACAGCGGGGTGGGAGCTGAGGGAATGAGGTTGGAAGCCCAAAACAGAGTTGTGTGTTTGTCAATCAGTGTGCAGAGAGCAGTTCATCAATCCACCCCTGTGACAGGAAGAGGAGAATCCTTCTTTGGGGCATCCCTGCAGCTCGTGGGGCGCAGTGTCAGCAGCGAGGGTGCCCTGCAGAACCCACGGCAGCATCTGGCAGAGCTCCCAGTGCGAGGCAAAGTGCCTGTGCTGGCACAGACCTCCTCCCTCTAATGAGCCATGAAACCAGAGACCAGCCTACCTTGTGGAGAGGAAATCTGTCAGGAGCTTCCCCTGCCAGCAGTCCCTTGGCCCAGCACGTGCTTCCTGGGTCCTGCATCCCCAACAAAAAGGGTGAAGCCGAGCAGGCTGCCTGCAGCTGAGCTGCTCTGCCTTCTCGTGCTTAACAAAAATATTGATTTCCTTTAGTGCTGTGCCATGCATGTGCGTTTGACTGGAGTGATCTCATCACATGTGCTCCAGAGGAGGGGGGAAGGGAGCAGCGAGAGGATGGAGCATCCTCCACAGCTCTTTGTTCACATCTGCTCCACACTCTCCCAAGGTTTATTACAGGAGATTTCTATGCTCCGTTTCTCTCCTCCCTTTATTTTTTTCAAACGTCTCCTTTGCTTCTGTCGTGGTTCATCTTACAGCAGCATTATCCTCTTCCTAACACTGCTTGTCCTTTAATGAAGTGAAAATAAATGAAGGAAAGCAGGGAATGGGGAGACCCTGCTGCGAGGCAGCTGGAGGGCTTGGCAATAAAGGAGGCTGGTTGATTAGTCAGCAGCATGGCCGAGGCCCGGGCTGGCTGGATTCAGCCTCACTCACAGCTTGTTCTCTGTGCTCCTGGAGCCTCCAGCCATCCTGTCTCTGTGACCTGTGCTCAGAATGCCAGGCTGTAGGTTGTAGAGGCAACACCTGCACCGTGCACATGTGGGTTTCTGTCCTACTTACCTGCTTTTTTAATAATGCATTGAACTTTGGCTGTTTCTTTATTTGTCTGCAGAAATTCTTGTTTCTCTCTCTGTCTCTGCTGCTTTTGTATCCTGCTTAATGAGGATTTTTGCATGTTAAAGGTTAAGAACAAAATGTACCTTCACCTGCAGAGTATGGCAAGAAGCTCCTTTGAGTGCATGGATGCTGTTAGAGCTGTCCTGCGGCACTGAGGGGAGCTTTACCCACCCAGGGGGCTCTTTTGCTTCTGACTTAAATACTTTATGTCCTTCATCTTTGCTTTCTTAGGGAAATAGCACAATACTGTGCCTCGTGTTAATGCATTTATTAGGAAGGGTGTCCTTCAATCCTTTTCATTCATTTATGTCTCTCCAAGGAGGCTCTTTGTCTGGCCCATGTCTAGTGACGCTGTGGCCACACTCCATATGTCCCTTGTGTTCATTTAAGGGATGCTGATCTGGCATCCCTCTGTTGGGCTGGAGGCAGGGCAGGCATCCCCCACTTCTTGCTCTATCACTTTCCAGAGTAATAAAACCTACATGCTGTCTTGTCCATTGTGCTGAAAAGAACATGTCAAGAAGAGAGGATTGCAAAAATAATTGTCCCAAAGCAATTCCAGACACATTAAGACACCCCAGGCCACTTCAGAAGCAGCTCTTAGCCTGCCTCTTCCAGCTATTTGTCAGGAGATTTCAAAACTCTTCCTTTCACAAGGAACTGCTTTTCATGGGGGCAAGGCACATTTTGTAGGGCACTACCAAGCTGCTGTGTACAATAGCCCTAAAAATGGTCTGTAAAATAAAGGAGCTGGAGTGCAGCAGCACTCCCAGGGTGGCCAGCCTGGCAGCAGTGGGTCAAGGAGCTGGCTCAGGGTGAACTCTGCCATGGCACAGGGATTCTTCATCCCTCCTTTGGGCTGGAGGCTGCTGCAGGCTGGGATGAGCATTCCTCACTTCCTTCTCTATCACTTTCCTGAGCTGTCTTGAGAACTTTAATTTTTGGGAGCTCTGGGACCCAAAGCTGTCATGAGCAAAGAGAGCTGAGGTGAGCTGCTCTGCAGAGCTGGTGCTGCTTTGCTGTGATCTCTTCTGAGCTGCAAGGGACACAAGGAAACCTGGTGTTGTGTGTGGAGAGGGCACTTCTGCAGATTTTAAGAGAAGTCCTCTCCCTGTCACCATGAAGGGTTGAGGCTGTTTGTGTGGAATAACCTGGAGTTGATACACAAGGAGCCATTCTGCACCAAAGATTCACACAAGCCATTTTTAGTGGCTGTTACATTTGTTCCTCTCAAGCCCTTCTTTTCATAGCTAAAATGATGGAGCTCTGTCAGTTTGCTGTTCTTTGTTATTCCTTTTTGCTGAAGGAGAACAGTGGCTGGTGGGAGCTAAACAGGGATTGAGGTGTGGGGAGGAGGGGAGAGATAGAGGCAAATCATCCACGTTACTGGGGTGATGATAGGGAGGTCACTGCTCTCCTCTGAAGTGTAGAAGGGTGCATTATCTGGCTCCTTTCCCTGACACAAATGCTCTGTTTCTTGTCTCAGCCATAGACTGGAAAGATGGTAAAAAGCACAAGCACAGCCGCCCGTCAGAGTCTCCCTCCCAGTACCAAGGTAAGAGAGCTCCCTTCTTCCTCCCCACTTTTTTTTTCACCCTCCCTTCTCCCTTTTGCAATTTCCAAAGATTTTTTTTTTGACAAGTGCATGGTGCAGCAGTGAGGATTGGTGGTCACCTGCAAGAAACTGAGCAGCTCATCACTGCCCAAGGCTTGGGCACATCTTTGTAGGGTTTGGGCCTGGAGAAGAGAAAGATTAGAGGAGACCATGGAGCCCCTTCCAGTGCCTCAAGGGGCTCCAGGAGAGCTGAAGAGGGACTTTGGACAAGGGTCTGAAGTGACAGGACAATGGGAATGGCTTCACACTGTCAGAGAGCAGGCTTAGATGGAATATTGAGAAGAAATTCTTCCTTGTTAGGGTGGGGAGGCCCTGGCACAGGGTGCCCAGAGAAGCTGTGGCTGCCCCTGGAAGTGTCCAGGGTCAGGTTGGACAGGGTTTGGAGCAACCTGGGACAGTGGAAGGTGTCCCTGCCCATGGCAGGCAGCAGAAAGGAATGGGCTTTAAGGTCCCTTGCAACCCAAACCATTTTGTGATTCTGCACAGTGAGGGGGTAAAATTCAACATCTTTCCAGTGCAGAGCACCCTGTAATCCAGGCAGGATTTCGGGTCAAAGCTGCATTGGGGCATGTCTGAGGAGAGCAGGACAGACCAGACAGCACCCTGGTGTTTCAGAGCTGGTAGTTTTGACTTGCACATTGTCAGATTTTACCGAGTGGGACAGTGAGCAATGGGGCTCATGCAGCTGGATTGATGGCTGAGCAAAGTGCCTGGGATGGGGCAGGGTGGGACAGGAGGGAGCTGTGCCTGTGGGAGAGCTGACCCCTGTGGGAGGCCATACTCAGACATCAGGGACAGCCACTGTCACCTTGGATCTGCGAGCCCAGACGATGCTCTGCTCATTTTCATACCCAGCTGGCTCAAACTGTGCTGCTCTCGTGTGCTGCCTCCGTGCTCCTTAGCAGCCACACATATGGGCTGCAGACTTTAATGGGATGCCTTGATCTGGGTAGAGCACATTCTCCTTCACAGATGTGACCTGAAACACACATGTATTGTTTCAGTTGGATTGATGACCCCTCGGGAGCCAAAATGCTAATGGAGCCCAAACCAGACTTCAGTGAAAGATATAAACAGAAACTCCATCTTCATTTAAATTCTGGGCAAAGGATCAATGTTAAATGCAACATGAAGAGAATCAAAACATGAGGGTGCAGAGCTGCATTGTTCACAACTACTGCAGTTTGACCTCTTGGGTGTGTGAAGTGTTTTGTTTGGAGTAAATATTTTTGAAGGTTAAGACATCAGAGCCCAGATTTGATTGTCTGCCTGGAAGTAATATCTGCCTTTGGCATGAGCACACGACAAGGAGCTTTCCCAAGGCAAGCACAAGTGACAGACAGTCACCCCAGTGGCATTTCCACAGCCAAGTCACAGGGAGTCACACGGTTTCCCAATCCTTGGCTTTTGTTTGGCTCACAGATGTAGGTGCAAAAACAGGGTGTTTTTCGTTTAAGTGTCTTTCTCTCATTTCTTCCTGTGAAGGAGATCCAGTGTGCTGGAAGGAGGTGGAGAGGGACTTGGGACAAGGGCCTGAAGTGCAGGGTTTCCTCTCGTGCTAAGGGTGTGATGGCAGCTTCCAACTGCAGTCTGCACTTTTGACCTTGGGTAATCTTGAAAAAGAAGTGCAGGTTCTACTTGTGCTTGCCCTGCCATCTGTGTGTGAGGGGATGGCTGGTAGTGAACAGAGAGGGAGGGAGGGAAGGCTGAACACTGCTGTATCAGTTCTGTCTTTTCTTAGAAGTCTCTCTGCTGCTCCTGCTTTTCTTTGCAATATAAATCACCAGAACCATTAGTCGTAGGAATCAGAGTATCACACAATATCCTGAGCTGGAGGGGACCCCCAGGATCACAGGATCACCCAGTCCAACCCCCCAACAGCCCCAGCCTGGGCATCCCTGGAGCGCTGTCCAAAGGCTCCTGCAGCTCTGGCAGCCTCGGGGCCGTGCCCATTCCCTGGGGAGCCTGGGCAGTGCCAGCACCTCTGGGGGAAGAACCTTTCCCTAAATGCAGCCTGAGCCTGGCCTGGCCCAGCTCCATGCTGTTCCCTTAGGTCCTAGAGGAGCTGCAGTTCTAGTGCTGTGTGTGTGTCTTCATACAGTGGTTGAATCCCAGCAGGCTTTAGAATTAATCTCGAATAAGTTCCATGTCCAAACGCTATTTTTAGAGGCCTGCAGCTGTCTCAGAAATTCTCTGCTCCCACTGGGGTTGTGCAGCATGGATCTCTGCTGTGGGGTGAGCTGCTGCAGGGAGCAGGACAGCCTGGTTTAGTGTGGAGCGAGTGAAAAGTGGAAAGATTAAAACCAGGACAACTTTTAATAGTGATGGATTGAAACCAGCTGAGGGGAGTTTGTTGGTTTTTTTTTTTAATAAAAATTGTCAAGCCCAGCTGATCCTGTTCAAGCTGCTGGCTCAGGGCCTGGGGCTAAGACTGGCACTGCTCACCCAGTACTGTCACCTGGACATCCTCTGTGTTCCAGCCTCTGAAGGGCCACCCCAGTCTGAGATGAGCCCAGAGCAGCTACCAGAGTTAAGGGGGGGGGGATGCAGAAGGCATTTCCAGGCCAGGAGTGCCCAGCTTTGCTTTGCCTGGATGTTTACTCCACATTATTCATACAAAGAATTTCATTGACAGAACCAAATATAAAATTGTATCTTCAATTAATGCAAAAGAATTTAATGTGAGAGCATCATTGCAGTAACTCACTGAATTTCTTCATTCACCCAGTGTGAAACTGTGGCTGAAAGGAAAATATGTGCCAGTGGATGGAGCTGAGCAGTCTGGGGCATGGAGAGTGCTGTCAGTGTGGAAACAGCGATATTCAGCCAGTGTGGCAATGAAACTGTGCTTTTTTCTGTTAATTTTCCCCATTTCTAACAGTGTACTAGTCATCTGCATAGGAGGTGGTGAGAAAGCAGCATTCCTTGTATTTATTTGAAGCTTGTAATTATGAAGGCTCCTCTGTGCACAAGGCAGCACTGAAGCAATGTGTGCTGACCTTACTGCCTCAGTTTTCAGAGGTGTGGTGTGTGCTGCAGTAGCTAAAATGGCTCTTAATGTGGCTTTTGTTTTGAAAATAGACTGATTAAGAACTTGCCGTGACTCGGGAAGCAGTGGCTGACTTGAATTGTGCTGCCACCAATGCTCTTGAAATGCCTTGAAAAGGGAGGTCTCCCGGGAGCTGTTTGGATGAATACAAGTGAATGTCACACTGGAAGGTTCCTCTCCCAGCTGCTCAGTTTAAATGGCAAAAGTCACGATTTGCTGGGATCACAGGAGCTTTTAATTCCTCATTTAATAACAGGTTTCCCTGGGTGGCATATTGCTTTTACCCTTCCTGCTGCACGTGAGGAAGGTGCAGGCAAGGATGAAATGCGCTTCCCCTGGCAGCAGCACTGGTGGAAGGGGGTTTGGTGAGGTTTTGAGCTCAGTAAATCCCTGTTTGGAGGATTCCTGCTCCCATCCTGCCCATCCTGTGGACTCCATGGCACTTCAGGAAGTTAACTGCTGACCTGTCCACTTATAGCTGGGGTTGGGCTGATCCCCAGCCCATGGGGTGGGCTGTGTGTGTGCTGGACCAGGGGGACCACCCAGTCACCAGAAAGCAGATTCCTGTTCTAAATCCATGATTTAGAATCGTAGGATCACAGAATGGCTCGGGTTAGAAATGAAGATAATCTTGTTCCAAGCCCCAGGCTGTGCTGCTCGTAGCCCACGGTGACTGTTTGCAATCCCCAGACTGAGTGATGTGTTTAATGAATGGTTTTTAAGGGACAGTTGTCTGGAAGCCTCCACAGATTCCCATCTGTGCTGGGTGTTTTCCATTAAGTTGTAGGTTGTTATCCTGACTCTGTGCAGCCCCTTCTCGGCAGCGCTGAGGCAGGAGGATGCCGAAGGCAGCGCTGTGCTTTGTTCTGCCTGTCACTTGCAGTTGTAAATCTTCTGTGCTCACAAACATCAGAGGTTCTTGGTGAAAACATGTTGCCTGTGAGCACCTCCTCTGTGAGGAGTGCAGAACTGCTGGCTTAGGAGTCTGGCTAGTTCTTTTGCTGAGAATTTTGCTCATCTGTTCCTATTTGAATCCTTTTGTTTTCACTTCTCAGGTCACTTCACCTGGGAGAAGTACCTGAAAGAGACATGTGCCATCCCAGCTCCTGCCCATTGTTTCAAGCAGGTAAGAGCATGAAAACAAGAAAGGTCAAAGGCTGTGGTCCACTGGGAGCCCCAGAGTTCTGTGCCTGGAATAGGCCCCTGGTTTGGCAAGGAAGATACTTGAGGATATTGGAGACTTAACAGAAATCCAAGTGCTGAAGCAAAGATTAAATTGATACATTTAGAGTAGCACAGAAGATTTTCCTCTCAGATATGCATGTTGGGAACACGAGTATGCTATTACTCTGTCAAGCATGGGCCCTTGGAGAAAGTGTCCTGATCCAGCTTTGGGTGGATCCTGCTCAATCTGGAGATTTTCAGCAGAATTCACCCAATTGTTTTGACAGAATGGCAGCCCCTGGGCAGCAGGTACTGAGTGCAGGGGTGGTTGTGCTGGGTACAGGGGGTGCAGGAGTGAAGCAGCATGGAACACGTGGGTCTGGGCACAGGGGAGTGTCTGTGTGGGTCTGGGGTTGGCTGGGTGAGTCTTCCCAGGAAAGGGTTAATCCCCTACACTGGGCACTGGTGGGGGCACCTCAGATCCTGGGATCGGTTTTGAGCCCCTCACAGCAAGGGGGCTGGAGCATGTCCAGAGAAGGGAATGGAGCTGGGGAAGGGGCTGGAGCCCCAGGAGTGGCTGAGGGAGATGGGAAAGGGGCTCAGCCTGGAGAAAAGGAGGCTCAGGGGGAACCTTCTGGTCCTGCACCACTCCCTGCCAGGAGGATGGAGCCAGGTGGGGATCAGGCTCTGCTGCCAGCTAACAAGGGACAGCATAAGAGGAAACAGCTTCAACTTGTGTGAATTTTTTCACTGAAAAGGTGATCATGCCAAGGAAATGTCTGCCCAGGGCACTGGTGGTTCAAAAAAAATCTGTTTGTGGTGCTTAGGGGTAATAGGTTAGTGGTGGGCTTGGCAGTACTGTGGGAACAGCTGGAGTCAATGATCTCAGAGGTGTTTTCCAGCATGAATGGTTCTGTGATTCCAAGAGAAGGGGCTTTAGCTGCCTAGATGATGCAGGATGGAAGGATGGGGGTCTGTTAAAGACCTGCCAGGGCTTTCTGAGTTCTCTGTGGTGCCTGGAGGGGCTGTCAGCCTTCAGCAGACTCCCTCTGAGTGCTCCTAGTGCTGAAGCTTTGTGCCTGAGCCCGGTGCATGTTTTGGCAGTCCTGGCTCTGACTGGCCCCTGTTCTATCCCACTCTTTGCAGTCCTACACTCCACCTGCAAACGAGTTCAAGATCAGTATGAAGCTGGAGGCCCAGGACCCCCGGAACACCACGTCCACGTGCATCGCCACCGTGGTGGGGCTGACGGGCGCCCGCCTGCGCCTGCGCCTCGATGGCAGCGACAACAAGAACGACTTCTGGAGGCTGGTGGACTCTGCTGAGATCCAGCCCATTGGGAACTGTGAGAAGAATGGAGGGATGCTGCAGCCTCCACTGGGTGAGCTGGAGTTCTGCTGTCCAACCAGGATCAAATTGATGGTGGGGAAAGCTTGAGGGTTTTTATAGATCTGTGCTTGGAACAGAGGCCCGTGGCCTGCCCCTGCCTATCCAGGATATACACAAGGTATATAAACCACACCAGGTCTGGATTTCCACACAGACACATGGACAGGGAGATCCTTTAGACTGCAGGTGAAAGAGGTCTCTGCTTGCCCTGGTTGCAGCTCAAGCTCTGGATTGTTGCCCAGGGAAGCTGTGGCTGCCCCATCCCTGGAAGTGTTCAAGGCCAGGCTGGAATAACCTGAGATAGAGGAAGGTGTCCCAGCCCATGGCAGAGGGGATAAACTGGTTCATCTTCTAGGTCCCTTCCAACCCAGCCTACCCTGGGATTCTAGAATTCAATACCAGATTACCTGGACGGGAAACAATGTTGGAAAAGGTTCACAGTGACTAAAGTCCTGTCTCATATGAAGAGATACTTGTAAAAGTTCATACTTATTTATTTAATTTTGCTTGACTACAACATTATAAATAGCCTGGACTGTCCTAACACTTCTTCCAGTCTTCCATTAAACACACAACACTATCCTTTTTCCTTGATGCTTGCCCAGTGACAAGCTGATTTTTTCCTGCAAAATTAACCTGCTTTTACATTCTGCTGCCCAGCAGTTTTAGTGTCTTCATAAACCTCTTTCTCAATTAGCATAACCCCAAATAATACTTTCAGTGCCAGGCTGGACAGGGCTTGGAACAACCTGGTGTGGCCAGCAGAGGGCACGAAGTGCAGGTAACACAGCCCTGGCTGTGCCAGGGGACAGGGACGAGCTCGGGAACAGGTCTGGGAATGCTGCTCAGTGTGCCCGGCTCTGCTCTGTGCCACCTCCTTCACCTTGCACCAGAGAAGAGGGCACGGTTAGGTGAGATTTTAGGAAAAAATTCTTCCCTGGGTGGTTGGGGAGGCCCTGGCAGAGGTTGCCCAGAGAAATTGTGGCTGCCCCCATACCTGGGAGTGTTCAAGGCCAGGTTGGATGGGGCTTGGAGCAGCCTGGGATAGTGGAAGGTGTGGCAGCCTGTGGAAAGGAAGCCTGTAGCAGGGGAGTGGAAGTGGATGATTTTGCACCCAGCATGAAGACAGGTAACCAAGATAGTGCTGCAGTTGTCCGTCCTGCCTGCAGAGTTCAAGGGCCTAGAAAACCCAGCAAGGATTTTCTGTTTCCTGTAGTATTTTCCATCTGCACACATCTGCTGCTGCTGCTCTATCTCTACACAGATAATTCCAGTGGCAGGAGCCAGGGAATGGCTGGAGCTGGGCCAGGCCAGGCTCAGGCTGCATTTAGGGAAAGGTTCTTCCCCCAGAGGTGCTGGCACTGCCCAGGCTCCCCAGGGAATGGGCACGGCCCCGAGGCTGCCAGAGCTGCAGGAGCCTTTGGACAGCGCTCCAGGGATGCCCAGGCTGGGGGTGTTGGGGGGTCTGGGCAGGGCCTGGAGATGCACTGGATGATCCTGTGGGTCCCTTCCAGCTCGGGATATTTTAGGACTCATATAAAATGTTTCCTTTGCCATGCTGGGAGCTGAGCTCTCCCACCCCCTGCAGTTGTGGCTACTTGGGTTGATTTCTGAGCTGATCTGACAGAGCTCAGGGCTGGCAGGGTGACCTGTGCTGAGCGCTGCAACCTTGGCAAAGTTTTCCCATGTTCTTGGTCCAGGTTCAGTGCCAGGATTGCCTTCAAAACCCCTCAAACACAGACCAAACACAGCTGAGTAACAGAAATTGCCTGTGCAGGAAGATGCACATTTAGCAAAGAAGATACTCTGTGATATCCAGAGCCTTCTTTTGGTTGTATAGTCGTAGTCAGTGCCACATACTTCAGAACATGTGAAATTGCTTTTTTTCTTCCCATAAATCCTCTCTTCTTGTTATTTCTCCACTTTTTTCACAGCAGGTGTTGAGCCAAAACCTGACATCTTTCCCTATAATGGTTAACTCTATTTCCCAGCCAAGTCACATCCTCTATTTCTTCAGATTAGCTTGCCTGCAGCTCACACTAGAGGTGGAGGAGGCCACCCAGAAGCTGTGATTCCCTGTTGAGGAAGAAATTCCATAGCCTGAGTGTGCACTTGCTGATTCATGTCTCCCCTGCAGCAGGATCACTGGAGCTGGCAGCACTGACTCTGCACGAAGTGCTCAGCCTGGATGGTCAATGGATCAATGGGATTGTTATGATGAGTGAATATTGCAGGCAGACAGCTGTTTCCAGATGTTTCTTTTCAATAACACTAATGCTTTGCATTCAGAATACCTGAAGTCCCATCAGAGCAGGCGTGTGCTGCATCAACCCCCACAGTCTGAAAGTCTCCATCTCTGCTTCCCTCCCCTCAGGCTTCCGGCTGAATGCCTCCTCCTGGCCCATGTTCCTTCTGAAGACTCTGAATGGAGCAGAGATGGCTCCTGTCCGGATTTTTCACAAGGTATTTCACTGTTTGTGCAGATTCTCCTGGCAATGGCCCCTTTGCTGCACCAAACTCACAGCTGGTCCCATAGGAGGTGACATTGCACAGCTCTGCCTCGGGGCTGCTCTAGGACAGACCTGTGTCCTCTCCAGCTGTGTCATAGCAATGTCAGGGTGTGGCCAAAGGTCTGCCAAGGAAGTGCCTTGGGCGTCAGTGCTCAGGCTTGAGGCAGGAGCTGGTTTTTCACTGGTGCTGCAGGTGCTGCTTGAGGGGGGGAATGCAGGTGGGAGCATCAGCACCACTCTGGAATGTCCCACTCCCTGGGCTCGGTGCAGCAGCCAGCTGAGGGCAGAGCTCAGGGTAGTGGACTTTGCTGCCTCTTGATTAAGGAGCAGTGGCTGTGTAGCCCAGCCAGTGTGTGCACCCCTACTGGGGTTCAAATCCAGCCCACTAACTCCCTTCAGCTGCTCCTGGAGGTGAATTTGCTGGTGAGGGCACAGCCCTGGTGTGGGGAGGCACTGCCATATCCCCTTTGAGCATATATTCCACTTCTTCTTGTAGGAACCGCCATCTCCTTCCCAAAACTTCTTCAAGACAGGTATGAAGCTGGAGGCAGTGGATAGGAAGAACCCTCACTTCATCTGCCCGGCCACCATTGGGGAGGTGAGAGGTTCTGAGGTCCTCATAACATTTGATGGCTGGAGAGGTGCCTTCGATTACTGGTGCCGATATGATTCCCGGGACATCTTTCCCGTAGGCTGGTGTTCGCTGACTGGAGATAATCTGCAGCCCCCTGGTACAAAAGGTAAGGCCCACGTTGTTGCTCAGCTGTGTTTCTCCTCCACTCAGCTCTCAAAGAGCAGCAAAGCAGGCAGAGACTGGCAGCAAGGACACCTGGGTGCTCCTGTCTGGCTTTTGTGCTGCTTCCTGTGTGGCAAAGGTGATCAGGTATAGCACTGAAAGGTGCTGAGGAGCAGCTATCCATAACGATGGGCAGGAGGATGGCTCTGGGGAGGGATGGTGCTGTACAGCATTGCTGAGGTCTGCTCCTCTCCAGGAATTTCCTTGAAGCTTTTCCTGCGCCTTTGAACCACATTTTCCTGCAGTTTTGCTCAGGGGGTCTGGAATAATGAGAATTATGAAGCTGCAGGACTGCGCCTCTTTGTACTCTGGACAGTTTTCTTGGTCTGCTGTGAACGTGGACAAAGCAGGTGTGGAGCAGGTCTGGTTCCTAGGGCTGTGATTGTTGGGCAGGAACAGGGTTGGGGAGCTTGTTGCCTTAGAAAGGCCTGAGCAGTGGCTGGTTTGATTCTCAGACATGTCTCAAGCTTTCTCACATCACAGTTGTGTTTGGGCCCTGGGGTCTGTCACTGTCCCCAAGCACATCCCTCTGGCATTTGCTGGCTGGCAAGCCCTGCACGTGCTTGTCAATGAAATGAGGGGCAGGAGAACAAGCTGTCTGCCAGAGCTGAAGGATTGCTTAGGAAAGGCATTTCTCTGACAAGGCTGTTCCTCTTGGCAGTCCTGGGTCAGCTCAGGCTGCCCTGTCAGGCTGGTGCTGCCCTGGGCCAGGTCTGTGCTCGGGACTGCAGGGCTGGGCTCAGTGGATTGCCTGAGAATGACCTGTGTGCTGAGCTCTGGGCTCCCCTTGGCTGGAGATGATTCCTCTTTATCTTGGATTTCTACAGTTTGCCTTCTTGTTCCCAGCTTATCCTTCTCTTCTTGCTGGTTGTTTGTGTCCCACCTGCTCTGCACTGAGCACTGGGGCCCTTTTGGCCAGTGGCTGACCACTCCAGTGGTGCCCTGGAGTCAGGGGCTCTCACCAGGCATCTCCAGGGTGCCTCTCAGGTGCTGCACAAGTGGCTCAAGACATGTTTGTGTTTGCCAGCTCTCCTGGCAGTACCCTGGGGGTGGAAGGTTTCAGGAGCACGGTGGAAGCCACTTTCTCAGGAGAAGTGTCTGACCCGCAGCCCCAGCAGAGGCAGATCTGCTCCTCCCCAGCCTCCTCTTGCCAGGGGCTGAAGCTGTGAGTGAGCAGAGCCCAGTCAATTATCCAGGAACAACACCCCATTGTGCCATCCTGGGAAGCTTGTGCTTCCCCCTGTGACAGATTTTCCCTTTCCCACTGGCTCCATGTGCAGTGACTCTGCACTTCCTGCTCATGTACAAAAATACTGACCCCCTAAAAGTCACATCTCCCCACTCATAGGCAGAGGCAGCCCTCACTCTCAGGCAGATTTATGCTCTCTTTTTCCTTTCTTTTTCAGCTCCTGGGACAAGAGCAGGGGTTGGCAGGGGTTGCATGAGCCATGCAGAAATTCCAGAGAGTTGAGATAAGCCTTGTCTTTGTGGTTTTACTTCTTCCTCTGTGACTGTCTGCTCCCTTTCCTGCCCAAGAATTTCTGACTTCCACTTTGTGGGATTAAACCAAAAGAACAGAGTACTGGGAACTTTCTCTAATGAAATTCCTCCTGTGTTTCCTCACTCCTCAGCCCTCAGTGGTGGACGGTTGAGCACAGTCCTCCCAGACCTGGAAGTGCTACTCTTGGCAGGGTTGGAGGATGCATCACCACAGAGGAATCACCTTTTCCTTGAGCTCCTTCTCCATGTGCCAGCCTGGAGCCTGCAGGACCATGTGGTGGAGCTGGGCATTTCCCTTTCCTGGTGGGAATTCCTCTTAAAGAGAACTGGAGAGACATGCAGGCAGTCAGGTGCTGCTGTGGTAATACTGCTCTGTGCTCATGTGCTGGACTGGCCCAGGGAGGCCCCTGTGGAAGCTGGGGAATCCTGTGAAGAGTTAACTCCATGGAGAATGAGTAACCCCGTGCCTTCCTGGGGCTGAGCAAAAAGAGGCCTCGTGGAATGAGCTCATGTTCAAGGGAAGCAGAACTTCAAAGAGGGCAGGCATGTTTATTTAATGCTGGTAACTCCATTCAGCTCTAATCTGTCTCTGCTGCTGGCTGAGGTGGAGGAGTGCAGGGCTTCTCCCAGGCACAGTCCTCCATCTCCAGGGCCTCCCACTCCCAGCAGTGTTTGCTTAGCTGGAGTGGCTGGGCAGGGAGCTGGTGGAGCTGGGGCCCAGCCAGCCACTCCAGGGAGCTTTCATCAGGGCACGTGTGTGTGCTAAAGAAGGAAAGAGGGAGGTCAAACAGCAAGGAGGAGCAGCCTGCATGCCTGCTTTGTAATTCCATTGCTGCATGCTGGCTGTGCAGCAGCCTCCTGGACATCTCCTGGTGCTCCTGTCTGGATGCTGCACACCTTGGAGCTGGGGGATCCAAACCAACACACCACACGGGGGAAATGTAGCTCTGGGAGTGCCTGTGCCTGTGGTGGGTCCCTCCACATCATCCATGGGCTGGGAATGGATGTTCTGCTGGGCTCCAGAGCAAGGTAGAATGTGGAAGAGTTCATCCTGTGCATCCACAGCTTCTCCACCTCAGCCTGGCAGCTGCTGGGGAGGCAGGTCCCAAAGGAGGGGGAGTTCTGTGTGAGTGCAGCAAATATCCCTCAATGTCCCACCCACACCAGTGGGTGCTCCCAGGGCTGTCTGTTGGCCAGGAATCCCTACTCCACTCCTCATGTGTGGTGTACCTTACCTGTCTTTTCATATCTCTTGTACCTGTACTTTTTTACCCTTAAATACATATCTGGACTTTCAGGAGTAGAAGGTGAAGGGGACTTTCTGTTCAACTGAGTGCTGGCTGGGAGCCTGGAGCTCAGAGTCAGAGAACATCCTGAGCTGGAAGGGATCCACAAGGATCATCAAGTCCAACTCCTGGCCCAGCACAGGACAACCACAATCAAAGCTGAACAGCTTTTACTGTTCTTTCTCAAGTGTTTTCTCCAGGTATGTCCCTGGATCATCTCTCAGAAGTCAGAACAATGGGTAGGCTGGCTCATTGATGGCTCCTGCACTTCCCTTGCTCAGGACTTGTGGGGTCACTTCAGTTTCAGAAATTAGAAGAGTTTAGCTGTTCCTGGAGGTGCTGCTTGTGCTCTTACTGAGCCAAGCACTCATCCCAAAAAGGTACTGACTGAGAAATATTTACCTGTCACAGCACATAGACATAAAGCAGCTGAATTAACGTTGCAGGGGGCATCAAATCCAAACTTCCTACAACTTTCTGTTGCGTGGTGGGGTCAGAGTTTCAGAATGAGGGCAAAGCAGAGAAGAATGGTGTCTCCCCATCTTTAGATATTGCAGCCAGAATACACTGTGTGCACATTGCTAACAACACGGGGTTTTTGTCAGCAGAAGACCCTGAAGGTGTGTTGGGTGGGGAAGGAGTTACCCACACCTGCCAGGTGTGTGAGCTTTTCAGTTGGGGTTAGAGATCCATGGGCAGCACAGCAGGTACAGTGCAGGAGGTGGCTGATGTTCCTCAAGCCAAAAACATCAAGGTTTAGGTGTTGTGATGCACATAAGGAGTCTGTGCAATGCAGCAGTGGTTGGTAGAAATAATTTGGGAGGAAAGCAGAGATTGAAGGAGGAAAATGTGCATGTCACGTGTGGTAGGTTGACCCAGGGAGCAGCTGAGCCCCCCCAGCCACTCGCTCCCACAGTGGGATGGGACAATCATAAAGATAAAAGGGTGAAAACTGATTCAGGTACAGAGAGTTTAACAGGTAAAGCAAAACTGCAGGTGCAGGGTCAAGCCAGACAGTCACTGCTCCCCAGCACAGTCTCAGCATCCCCAGGAGAGCTGGGATGACAACACCATCACTCCATCCCCTCTTCTCCATGCTGAGCATGAAGCTGTACAGTCTGGGACATCCCTGGGGCAGTGGGGTCTCAGCTGTGCCCCCTCCCAGCTCCCTGTGAGCTCCAGCCCAGCCAAACCCATTGCTTTGAAAAAACTTTTGCATGCGTTTTACTTTTTCTAGCCATCCTGCTCTTTGGGATGCCTGTGGGCTCTTAGGACAGGTCACTGCCATAAGTGGAGAGTGGATTTTGGGAAGTTCCCCATTATAAGCAGTGCCAAAAAATCAATATTTAGGATCGACCTAAAGAATAAGGATGGTTGTTTAGTTACCTTAAATCGTGGCTGGGGAGAGAGGGAGATGCACACAGAAATGGAGGAGCTTCAGGGAAATAAAGAGGGAAATAACTGTGATAAAAATCAATGAGAAAAAAGAAGAAACAGGTAAGAGGCTGGTTAATGATTGTTGTTTCCAGGGCCACCTGCCCTCAGCAGGGAGGGTGGGATGAGGGAAATTCCCCTCAGCCAAGGCATGGTTTTGTAGAGAGATGTGTCTGCCTCTGTAATTCATGGGAAATTTGGCAGTTCACAGACTAGAGGAAAGTTCAGTTCTTTGTAGTCAGGGAAGCACACGTTGGAAGAGGATCCTTTTTGCTTTCTGAAGTGGTTTGTGGGATGGAGAACTGTGAATCCTTGGGGGAGGAGCAACTAAAGCAGGGTCTTCTCAGGTACCTGTGCATGGAGCCTTGATGCTCTGAGCTCTTCAGCTGAGGAGGTGATGACTGAAGGGTCTCTCTGCCAGCTAAAGGCACATGGGCTGACTGAAGGGTCTGGGCAGGTGGGGTGGGGCTTTCTGCCTGTGACTGTGGGCTGGGGCAGCTGAGAATTTCCACAGAATCTATCTCTGCACAAGAAAGAGCTCTTACTTAAACACCGGCTCCAAGTTTTGGAGAAATGCAGGCATTTTTCTAGGGTTCGTGCCACAGTATCAAGAACTTTAAAAGCTGGGATTTGGTTCAAAAAGCATGAGACCTTTACAGGACCCTTGTACAGCTGGGTGCCAGTGGCACAGTCCCACCAGTGTGCACAGTCCCACCAGTGCTGC